GTAATAATTTGATTAACTTATTTGAGGAAAATTTGCACGCCTTCTTATCATATATAATTCTAAACCGCCGAATAGAGGCAGAGAAAAAGGAAAATAATTTTAAAAATTCAGTAATTTAAGTCATCATATTATACATTTTTTTTTTATAAAACATTAATTTATTTCTTACTTTAAATGTAACGCAGGGTATACAATTTTATCTGAAGCGCACATTACTAATTCACACTCCACGATTGAAGTTTCATTATAAACTTCACGCAATCTTTTAATGCATCACATTTATTGTTAATACAATTTTGGCGTATAGTAGTCACAAATTGTTGATATATATTCTCTCGCACGCGATTTTATTAAAAAGATATGGTATTCATTTCATTTTATGACTTTTATATGATGCGATTTTACAATAGAAAGATACGAGCACAATTTTAATAATATTTTAATGATATAAGTCGATCAACCGGACGCGCTTTCTTAATTTATTATCACGAAGATATGAAGAAGGAATGATGAAGAGATTAGGGAAAAGATAAATTTTCAAAGAAATATGTATATTTTTTAATATAGATTTACTTATCTAATTTTTAATGCAGCATGTACAATATAATTTAAACCGTAGACCACTAGTTTACATTCCATAATAGAATTTTTATCATAAATTTTGTACAAAGTGTTCGCAGCATCGCGTTTACTAGTAATACAATTTTGTCTTAAAAATGATACAAAGTATTTGAATTTTTCATTAACACTGTGCGTACATTGACTTAGTTTATAGTACGCATGCTCGACACATTGCTCAAGGTTAAATAAGAAAAGTACGGTTGTTGATTTCATACAAGTATGTATCATACAATGATAATTTTACATTTTTCGTATCACATACTTTAACAAGTTCTACATTCAGATCTTGAATCGGTGATGATAATGATCAGACGGTTGACTGCATTAATCGCTCAATATCTGCACGTCTTTCGATGAACACCTTCCACGTAGCATGAGGCAGGATTATGCGGCTCGATTGTCGCTGATCGCAATTTCTACGTCTATCATCTGAGACGTACGTCCCACGATCCCGATGTCCAAGAACTTGATTTTTTCAGTGCCTAGATGGCCTTCATGTAATAGCCGAAGCATTTCAGCTTTCATTGGATCTACTAGTTTATTTTCTAAAAATAATAACTTATCGCTTACGTATAGTTTATCTTTTAGCTTTTGATATATTCTAATGTTTTCTGATATTTTATATTTTTGATTGGGTCAGCCATTACTTAGATAATCTGTAACTAATCTAAGTTGAAGATCATTGGTAGTAGCTTGTCTGAATTGATCTTTTCTGGTATCGGACATAGGTAGATGATTCATTACAGAATGAACAGCAAAATCTAATCGAATCAGACTTCAACCCTGTTTCCTTTAAATGCGCTCTGGAAATTTCCTTTCAATATTAATGTATCTTAAATTTATGCTACGTCATGTTACATTTTTTTTATTCTGTAATCCAACTTTCATATTATATTGTAAATTTATTTTCGCTTTGGCGCTTTTTACACTGTAATTTTTTACTCTCATTTTCTGATAAGAGTTAGAACAGGAGTTATAGACTTTGCTGGTGCCTCACCAAATGGTTTTATGCACTTGTACACTTAATTTTTTCTCGTTTAATTCTGTAGTCGTCATGTTTTTGTTATTTTGTAAATAATGCACAAATAAATTAAATTAAAAATTATGTTAAATTAAATTTATTCTTATGCACATTAAGTACGTATGTATGAATTGGACGAAGGTAGTATGTGTAAACGATCACGAGGTAGAGTTTAAGTTAGACAGTGGTGCGGAAGTAAATATCCTACTGAAGAATATCCTTAAGCACATTGCACCGCAGACAAAGATAGCACAAAGTAACATATCATTAATGTCGTATGGAAATCCCAACTTTAGAATTAAGAGTTTAATTATTCAAGTCAAATTATCGTGTCGTGTAAAAAATGTATGCGCTAACCTTACGTTCGTAATAGTAGAGGCTGAGGAACAGATTTCCTTGCTAGGCTTGCAGAAGTACTTAGCACTAAATCTCATTAGGCGAGTAGACGCTATTGATAAAATAATGTTTAAGTCATGATATCATGACATAATATCCTACATTTGAGGGACTAGGACGATTTTCGAGTTAACACCATATAACGTTAAAAGACAATGCGAAGCCTCGTATCACTCCCATTAGACGTGTACCTCATACATTACTCAACAAATTAGAAATAAAGTTAAGGGATTTAGAAAAAAATGGAATTATACGAAGAGATAAGTCCACAGAATGGGTACATCCCTTAGTCATAGTAGAAAAGCCTAACAGTGATCTGCGGTTATATTTAGATCTGAAAGAACTGAATAATGTAGTTCAACGCGAGCACTTTTTAATATTGTCAGTAGATGAAATTGCCGGGCAACAAACAATATTTTACAGTACTAGATATGAAAGATAAATATTGGCAAGTGAAGGTAGATGATTCTAGTGCTGATTTGTTAACTTTTGGTACCCCGTTTGGCAGATACCAATTTGTACATTTGGTATCTGCTCGGCACCTGAAATTTTTCAAAAGAAAAATTATGAAATATTTGATGATCTTGACGTAGGAATATACTTCGACGATATAATCATAACGAAAACCTCAGAGACCAAGCATGATAGAAACTTACAATGTGTTCTGGAAAGAGCTTTAAAGCATAATCTTAAATTCAATTTAAGCAAAGAAGTGTAAAGTTTATGGGACAAATCTTCTCGAAGGATGGCATTCAAACAAATAACAAGTATATTAAGCCTATGCCAAGCCCTCAGTGTAAACAAGACATTTTAAGATTTCTTGGCATGATTAAGTTTGTTGGGAAATTCCCAACATCTAAAATCATAGCCCCTTTGTGTAATCTGACAAGACTTGATGTTCAGTGGAATTGGACAACTGAACATGCTGAGTCAATCAGCTCAAACACTTATTAACTACAGCCCCAATCTTGGCATTTTTCGATCCAAAAAAGGAAATAGAAATTGAAACTGATGTCTCCAAAGATGGATTAGGCGCTAGTCTCCTGCAGGA